GGAGTTCACCTGATGGAATTTACATTAATCCGGAGTTGAAAGCTAATTCCAGTAATAGTAATGGTTGATGCAAACACAACAAATGCTGGAGAAACTCCACAGGTCTGGCAGCATCTGTGGAGAGAGAAAAACTGAGTCCAGTTCGACTCCTCTTCAGAGCTGAGTTAGAAAACTGAACAATTCTAAAGCTGACTGATACCAGACATGGAACATTAACTCAGTTTCTCTCTGCTCAGAAACAGCCAGACTTGCAGAGTTTCTCTAGCATTCTTAGAGTCATACAGCATGGAAACAGACCCTTCGGTCAACCAGTCCATGCCAAACATAATCCCAAACTAAACTAGTCCAACATGCTTGCTTCTGATCCACATCCTCCAACCCTTTCCTATTCATCTACTTACGTAAGTGTCTTTTAAATATTGTAGCTGTACCCACATCCAACACTTCCTCATGAACCACCCTCTGTGTAAAAAAATTGCCTCTCAAGAGTTTTTTAAATCTCTCCTCTTACCGTAAAAATGTGCCCCCTAGTCTTGAAAGCCTTCACCTTAGGGAAGAGACACCTACCATTAATCCTATCTATTCCCCTCATTATTTTATAAACTTCTATAAGGTCACCTGAAGCTCCTACACTCCAGTGAAAAATGTTCCAGTCTATCCAACTTTTCTTTATAATTCAAACTTTCCATACTTGGCAACATCCTGGTATCTCCTTTCTGAACGCCCTCAAGCTTAACAATATCCTTCCTCTAACGGGGCGACCACAACTGGACCTAGTATTCCAGAAGAGGCCTCACCAATGTCTCATAGAACCTCCACATGATTTCCTAACTCCTTGTGTTTGTTTCAGATTTTCAGTATCCTGCTTTTATCTAATGATGCCAATGGTTGTTTAATTGGCCACTTGGTTCATTAACGTGCATTTGGACAATTTGTGGAGGATGAAAATGATCTCAGCAGCTAGTGAGCGTGGATTTATTTCACGTGATTGTTCTTCATTTTTTTTTGGTATTAAAATGATCAACATGACAAAACTTTGTTTCACACCACAATGAGAAGCCAATCTGTCTCCCCCACTACTTCACCTGACCCTGTTAATAAATCCTCATCTTCCTTTCTCGCCCATGACTTTATCTAGCCTTCCCTTCAATTTGTTTATGACCATCTCAACTCATCCTCATGGTGAATTCCACATTGTGACCACTCTCTGGATGATTCAGAGTTCCCTTTGAGTTCACTAAGGATTTCTTGGTGATACAGAGCCTGAATATTGCCAAGAAGAAAGGCATGTTGCTGAAGCCTTTTGTCATAAACTCGTCAGGAGAAACACTTGAGCTGATGAGGTGGCTCATTAACGTTTGCAAATAACAACCCTCGCACACATACGCAGATACGATAGTGACTTTTAGAGGGCATCTTGACAAAAGCATGAATAGGATGGGAATAGAGGGATACGGTCCCTGGAAGGGTAGGGGGTTTTAGTTGTGACGGGCAGTGTGATGGTGCAGGCTTGAAGGGCTGAAGGGCCTGTTGCTGTGCTGTAATTTTCTTTGTTCTTTATTCACATGGACTTGTTCTTTGAAAACAAAATATTCAAGCCTCGCATCTTTTTTTAATTAGCAGGGAGCCCAGTGAGTCTATAATTTCCTGTTGCTTTCTCCAGATCAGTGCCTCAGCCTATCAGAAGTCACACAACACCAGGTTATGGGGGTCCAGTTGATTTTATTTAAAATCACAAGCTTTTGGAGCACTGCTCCTTTGTCAGGTGAAGTGGAGAGAGGCACAGAATGTATAGGTGGAGAGATAATGGCAAGATAATTTCAGGTATTTAAGAGCGTCAACATATAAGTACAGATATTGTGAGTAGAATGTTGACAAGCTGAATGACTCGATAAATTGTTGGATGACTGTTTGAAATTTGGCATGTGTCCTGATGGTGTGAGATGAAAAGCTTCAGCCACGTCTCTCTTCTCAGCAGCATCTTATGGCCCCTGGTTTAGACCACTAGCCCTTACCACAGTCAGCCCCAAGCCTTTGATGAATGAGAAATGTTAAAGTTCTGTGCTTTCTTTCCAATAGAAAATGAGGTTCAGCACGTACGTCTCGATGCTGCGCGCCAAGCTGAAAGCAGGAACGGATGATCTGGACAAGTTTGAATCCGCTCTGTTCGACACCATCGAGAACGAAGGGAATGGCTTGACAAAGTCCCACTCCAGCCCGTCCCTGCACCAGGAGCCACCGCTCATGGCCATCCGAGTCAAACGCAACACATCAGAACGCCGGAGTTACCGGCCCTCCACCAGCACCAAGCACAAGCTATAACCGGCTTGTTTAGTCAGGGTTTGCACTGAGACTAGCACGTTGTATGTTCAGTTACAACTTCTGACTGTAGTGTAGTGCCACTGGTAGCTGCTCGTGGTCGTTGGCACATGCATAGTTCAGGGGCTGGTTGGTGCAGAAAGTTGGCTCCCTTTCCAAAAGACTGGAATTGCAGGGATTGAGGTACAGCTACAAAAGGGGCACCGATACTGTGGTGTCATGGACAGCGAGCCTGTTTACTAGTTGCACCATAGCAGGGGCAGGACCGTGGTTGCATGTGCCAAGTGTGGCAGGAGCCACCCACCAGCAGATCTTGAAGCGTCATCTACTTTACTCTGACTCCCTGACGGTAACTCATGCCATGGCTCTGGCCTTGTCCCTCGAGCACGTGAGAGGGAAGGGGGCCTGTGGCAAACAAGGAGGCCCGAGCCACGCCTCACAACAGTTGTATTTCCACAGGACAGATGGATAGAGCTATATAAATACATATAATATATTCCTTTAGGATAAGGTGGCATTGAGAGGAGCTTGGCAATGCCACAGGTAAGGAGCAGCAGGCTGAGCTGGTTCTGAATCTCGTCGGGACTCACTAGAGGGTTGCTGCTACTTCATTGCGATTCCCTCAATCATTGCCAGCAGAGGTTAAGGAGTTGGAGTTCTCTCACTGCCACACTCCTTCGTGTGGCGTCAGTGACGATCACAGTGATGAGTTATGGTAGCTGCCACACAGATAGTTTATTTATGTTGTGTCTCACATTCCTTTCCCCTCCATCCAAGCTGTTCACATCTGCTTCCCATCTCCTCCCACACATAAATGTTAAATTATAACGTGTAAAAGTCAGAGTCAATTGAATGTGCGTTTCATAAAACTCATTCTGACAATGAATCACAGGCTGTTTTTAACAAACTCGTTTTAGTATACATGATAAATGTTACACTGTTTATTTATACACCAGTGTACCAGATCAATCTCATTCCTTCTCTCTTTCCTGAAACAAAATTCAAAATGACCCCTGTTCTAATCAGTAGATACATTTAAGGCCATGAAACCAACAATAATCTAAAGACTTAAAATGAGGGAACCAGGTCCCATTGTAGAATGGATCTGGACTTTGTACTGTGCCCTGCACAACCTAGAAATCTGGGAACTGAACAAGACCCCTTGGGTGATTTTCACCATTCAGTATGACCAAACCCCATTTGTCCTATGTCCCTTATTACCTTTGACTAACAATCTATTGATCCCCATTCCCAAATGGGCAACTAACCAGTTGGCATCAGGTGGAGTTTCTGAACCTCTACTGTTTTTATTTCCCAGGACTTGGAAGGAGTGTGATGTTAAACTGTGTGCCAACTCACTCTTGTCTGGTTTACACTGCCATACAGAGTCCAGATCTACTGCTCAGAAGGTTACTCTTTGGTTCCTGCTGGATTGTAACGTTTTAAGAGTGGGTGTTTTCATTGGACTCTTGAGTATTGCTGTGGTAGGGCAGAGGAGACATAGAAAGCATTTTCTGTTGTGGGTGAGCCACCCATTTGTGTGAGAGTGGGTGGGTGAGTTGGGGTGGGCAGGACCAGGGTTTGGTAAGGAGGGAGGCCAGCTGGGGTGAGAAATGCGCTAATGTGCTCAGGGAGGGGCTAGGGTTATATGGGCGGATTGACCTCCGTTGTCCCTGTCAGGTGTCCCACAGATCTGGGGGCGATGTCTTTCACCTTGGATTGTGTTACCACTGGAAACTCTGCAGCCATTACTTTGTTCCTCTGGAGGAGAGATATCTGTGGGTTCGCTGTCAAGACTGTTTCTCAGCTTGTTAGTCATACGGAGATTATTCACAGAAGCTGAATTTCCATATTGTCTCAAATAAGACAGTCAGTCTGAGGGGCCATGAACTTTTATACTGTGTGTTACCGGCAGATATTGTACAAGCCTAGGGTTCTTAATGTTAAATTTGCTGTTTTATCAAAGGTGAGCCTTTTTTTTTAAAAAAAAATACAGAGATAAATGTGTTAACGCTTCCTTTGAAATAGTGGTTGGGGAGGATGACTTTTGGGCCAGAATTGGATCATTTCACTGTGATATAAACCCAGAATAGGACTTGAAGGGTTTTATCATGTTCATTATGGGCTGTTCAACCACCTGCCATATGAAGGCACTTGAATTACGTCAACTATAAGGTGGCACGGTGCCTCAGTGGTTAGCGCTGCTGCCTCACAGCGCCAGGGAGCTGGGTTCGATTCCAAACTTGGACGTTTGTCCGTGTGAAGTTTGCACGTTCTCCCCGTGTCTGCGTAGCTTTCCTCAGGGTGCTCCAGCTTCCTGCCACAGTCCAAAGATGTGCAGATTAGGTGGATTGGCCATGCTAAATTACCCCGTAGTGTCCAGGATAGTTGGGTTAGCTATGGTAAATACAGGGATGGGATGGGTCTGGATGGGATGCTCTTCAACCCGATGGGCTGAATGGCCTGCTTCCACATTGTAGGGATTCTGTGAGACTAAAATCTAACTCAGTCAAAGCTGATTTAGTTTTCTGCTTAGCAGTACAGTATGGGAGATAGATGTTCTGCTACGTGCAATAAAACATTCCAAGGTGCCCCCCAAGGGTGAAATGGAACAAAGTTTGACACTGAGCCACACAGATATTAGGTCAGACAACTGATGAGTTGGTCAAGGAGGTAGGTTCTAGAAAAGTGGAGACGTGTAGGGAATGTACTCCAGAGCTTGAGGCCCAGGCAGCTCAAGTCTAAGCCATCAATGGTGGATCAATAAAAACAGGGCATACACAAGAGAGCAGAAGTAGAGGGGCACTGATATCTGAGACAGTTGTGAGACTGAAGGAGACTATGGAGGTAGGGAGGGGTGAAGCAATGGAAGGATTTGATGTCATGATGTTGCTTGACCAGGAGCCAGGTTAGACCGATGAGCACAGGGGTAATCAGAGAACAAGACTGGCTTTGAGTTTAGACTCAGGCAACAGAGTTTAAGTTGCCCTTAAGTTTCAGGAGGGTAGAATGTAGGAGACCAGTCCAGAGTGCATTGGAAGAGTTGAGCCTGGAAAGCAGACATGAGGAATGTTGGAGCAGCCAACATCCTATTGAATGGCGGAGCAGGCTCATGGGGCTGAATTGCCTACTTCTGCTCCTATTTCTAATGAAAGTAACAAAAGTTGCAAATGAATGTTTCAGAACCAGGTTGGATGGGGATGGCGCAGAGTCATGGGGATGTCACAGAGGTGTTCTTAGTTATGGCACAAATATGAAATGTGATGGGAAACAATGAGAAAAGACTGTTAGCAGCTGGAAATGTGAAAACAAAGAAGGAACCGGAAACAACAGATTAGGCAGTGTCTGTAGAGCCGAAATTAGTAAGATACTCAGAAGTTGAACTGGGGAGAATGACAGGCAGCTTTAACCCAAATTTGTTCTTCCCAATTCATTCATTCACTCCTATTTGACCATACTGTGTAGGAATCTGTTATTCTGGATGCTGTTACAGAGTGGGATTAAGGCATGCTGTTGGTAAGATGCCGAATGTCACCTTTGTTTGCGATATATGTGGTGCGGGAAGTCAAAAACTTTTGCACTGTTGAACACCAACGTCCTTCTGTAGTAGCGAGAACAAAAATCACATGGTCGGTTATTAAAAAGAATTCTATGAATGGACCAGTTACAGTAAATCTAGTCAATTGGTGGCTCAACTTCTGACCTGGAAGGACACTGCTACCATTTTATCTCTTCAAGATACGACTCAGACAAACTTAAACTAAAAACTCTTAATCAATGTTAATAATTATTTAAAGATGACAACTATTGTAAAACTCCAGGAATAGTGTTAAATAAACAGATGTTACATTTAAAGTGAAAAGACTGGGTGATCCTTTGGAAGAGGCTATCTGTAATGCTGAAGAGGTTTATAAAGTTGGACAGCATGGAAACAGACCCTTCAGTCTAACTCGTCCTCACTGATCAGACACCCCAACCTGACCTAGTCCCATTTGCCAGTATTTTGCAAACCCAATCGGGAAATTGGGTCTAAATTACGCTGCTTTCCCAAAATAGTTGTTGATATTTCTAATCCCAAATGTAGGATCGTACCAGTGTAATCTTCCATTGACCAGTACAACTGGGTCATGTAATAGAATGTCACTATCTTTAAAATTCATTCACGGGATGTGGGCCTCGTTCACTGGACCAGCACTTATTGCCCAGAGCCTGGCTGTGTTTACCACAACTTCAAGTTTAAAACTCTCATCCTTGTTTTCAAATCTCTATCCCTGCCTCTCTCTATCTCTGTAACCTCATCAAGCCTGCAATTCCCTATCCCCTGTTCCCTCCCAAACACTGCTCCCCCAGTTCTGGATTGAGCATGTGTTCCTCACGCCCCTTGTCCTGTCATTTGCAATCTGAGTTCAAGTCACATGCTCTGAAACACCCTTCTAAAACCAACCTTCCCTCCAGCCTCAGCTTCGCACCCTTCCTTTAAGGCCATAACTGTAAAACCTTTCTCTTTGTCCAAGCTGTTGTCCACTCTTCCCAGGGCCTTGCCCTTTGTCTTGTCTGATCATGCTTTTGTGAAGGTGGCGCAGGACGTGAAAAGTGCTATAAATGTGCAATTTATTGCTGTATACGTTAGCAACAACATTTATAACAACAACTCTTGCTATAGCATGAGGAAGTATGCTAACTTCACGTTTGGACATGCTCCTTCTGCCAGCTCGAAGTGGTTTCTGACTTGCAAAGATTAAATAATAAGACAACCATGGGTCAAATCTAATTCTAACGTCTGTTGTAAGGATGCTTTGGTAAATTAGTCTCATTGCCCCTTCAGAGCTGAAAAGACTTGTCTGCTTTAGACTCTAGTAGTCTGAGTCAAATTTGGAATAACTCAACATTAAGAAAAAGATTTGCAGCTGTCTAGCAATCTTGGTAACACTTCAGAACACCTATATACATGCAGTTACATGAAATACATTTCCTTCATGAATAAAAATGTATGTTCACTGGCTGGATCAACACTTGCCATCCCTAATTGCCCTGGAGAAAGTGGTAGTGAGCTACCTTATTGAACCACTGCAGTTCATTTGGTGTCATGCCGTTAGGGAGGCAGTACCAGGATTTTGATCCAGTGACAGTGAAGGAACGGCGATATATTTCCATGTCAGGATGGTGAGTGGCTTGGAGGGGGTGGTGTTCCCATATATCTGCTGCCCTGGTCCTTCCAGAAGACAGTGGTTGTGGGTTTGGAAAGGTGCTGCCCAATGAGCCTTGGTGAATTTCTGTTATTCAACTGTTGCTACTGAGTATTGGTGATGGAACGAGTGAATGTTTGGGGGGCGGATTGTCATTCTGGTTACTGGACAGTGTCCATTATTTGTGGGAATAAAAAACCGCAACAACTGTGGATGCTGTAAATCAGGAACTAAAACAGAAGTGGCTGGAAAAGCTCAGCAGGTCTGGCAGCACCGGTGAAGAAAAAAAAAAATCAGAGTTAACGTTTCGGGTCTGTCACCTCAGAACTGAACGAGTTCTGAGGAAGGGTCACTGGATTTTTCCTCCCAGATGCTGCCAGACCTGCTGACCTTTTCCAGCAACTTCAGTTTTTTGTTTGTGGGAATGAACTTAAAGCAGATGTTCTGGTGATGTGTGTTCAAATTGCACCGCTATAAAATTTGAATTAAAATTCAAGATTTCTTTAATTAAAAACCAATTAGCCTAATAGTGACCAATTATAGTGGGGTGATTGTTGTTTCAAAAAATAACTAACTGGTTCACTAATGTGTTTTAAAGAAGGGAATTTGCTATCTTTACCTGGTCTGGCCTACAAATGACTCAAGACCCACAGCAATGTAGTTGACTCTTAACCGCTGTCTGGGCAATAAATACTGGTCT